ATCAAAATTCAATATCAATAAATTGTATCAAGGCCAACCCCTCCTACATGTAGATATTTTATGAGAATTCATCTATAACTTTATGAGTTATCCAGCTAAAAGACAAACCAACATACTACCAAAAACATCTGAGTGACACGTGATACTAATTTGACTATTAACATTAAGTGAATGACAAAGCATTCAATAGACCATTTTTCATGTTATGTAAATTAATTACTCCATTCTGATGGTACTGTATTTGCTCTATTAGAAGTGCAACTCTAAAATAGAAGCAATGTATGTAGTTGGATGTATTTTACAACTCATTTTAATCCATGAGAGGCAGAATAATCCACTATTATTTCCCTAATTATTACTGTGATATTCTTGGTGCTTTCTTATATTGTTATTGTGTTTAATCAATTCAATCATCTTTATTACTTGTTTAACTCGAAGAGAACTAGCACAAATAACAATAGCAGACGCCATTTCAAATGTTAATCTCTTATTAGCCAATCATAGCTCATAGTACTATGAACCAATCAGCACCAAGCCCGCTAAAATTTGTTATGGTGGCTGATCCTACCAAGGCTATAAAAGGCCTGAATACTTGTTTTAGCGCGCGAGTACATGTAACCTTTTCCAGTGACGAGTATTAAAGCAGTTTCTTCATATAGTTTATTTGTTTCCTGTTCCTTTGATTGACAATCCCTTGTTTTACGCACCTTGAACTTTACGCTCGTTAGGGTTGAGATAAGTGTGAAATCCTATTCTCAATTCACCCCCCCAACAAAACTGCTGCCACGTACAAGTATATGGGCTCCTACTACCGTAAATATGGCAGCAAATATTTGGTGTGTTTTTTCTAGGTTGTCATGGTAAAAAAAGTGTAAAAAGGACATAATTTCTTCTACATGTACAGTTCAATACATTTGTACTCACTCCATGTATATCCAAACTCATCCACAGGCTCATCATCTGAACTCTCGTTGTCTTTACATTCTTCATCACCATCCAGTGCCTGTAAAAAATCAAGTATCACATGGTTCAACCGAAGACACATACAGGGATAGACAACTGCGACAAACATCAAAAGAAATAAAAATGTTCTGTGTGATGTGATCATGTCTTTTGGTGCTTTGCATTTTATTGCATAAGCGTCTGGGTACATGCAACAAGTTCACAACTGCAATACCAAACTTTTTTTCCTGTAGTTTTATGTAAGCTATTTTTGAAAACACGCCGTATCAAATACTTCTCAATAGGTCCTTTTCGACATGGTGATTACGAATGGCAATATCCCAAATCAGACGAAGATGTGTATTATATAAAGTAACGTCTTCGCTGCATTTTTTTTGATTCACCTGCTTTAGAAACCACACGTTTTTGTTTGTTTGTCCTATGTGTAGCTCGATGAATACATGTATGCCTATTCATCATATAGTTAATGCGTGTGCGCGGGATATGGGTCTCGTATAAACAAAGGAGGTAACTTTGACTGTTGCGCAGATCAATGAGTACAAACTGAGACGTTACCAAGCTTTAATTAGATATTTTTTTAGGTGATTGGCAGGTATCGAAGGAGTCATTGGTGCTAATTAGTGCCCAGGTCAAAACTTGTACTTGTAATTTCCAATAGAAGAGTGAATTGGATTGTTGGAAAATCAATGTTTATCAACTCGACCATCGCCCTTTAAAGAAATATCATATTATTGTAGAAAATGTAATGAAACCCATTTTTGAAAACATAACATGTAGCGTATGCAAATTTTTGTTTCAAGATTTGCTGAGCGAAAAACATAATATTTTCATGTATGTGATGTAATTTGTCTTGAAGTATTTGAACATAATCTTGCACGTTGAACGTTCAACATGACGCTCGAATCTCAAGAGACATTACATCACATCAAAGTCCACAGTCGCCTATTCCTGTATTCTCTTTGAGTTTTTAGTTCAATAAGATTTAAAGCTGCATTTCCATGTGATGCACCATGCAATGTTTGCAATGTGAATGGGTAATGAATAAGCAAGATATGAATTTAAGCAGGTCTCGTAAATTAGAGTAGATTTGTGAACACTCACTGGGTAAAAGGAGTCTTTGTTTGTCCTTGATAAGTTGCATTGTAGGTATGTTTGT